TAATGTTTAATTGTAAATTAATTTAATTAAACAATAAATATATATATTAATTTTAATATGAGCTGAAATCAAGATATTTTTTTTATTTTTTCAAGGTTGATTACCAACGTGATTCTCGTCGGTAACTAGGAAAACAGTAATAAAAAATGGCGCTTGAAAAAATTGGTGCCTAAAATTTTGGGGATGAGCTGAATTCAACATATATTTTTTTATTTTTTCAGGGTTGATTACCAACGTGATTCTCATCGGTAACTAGGAAAACATAAATCAAAAATTGCACCTGAAAAAATTGGTGCCTAAAATTTTGGAGATGATTTCAACCTACAACGAAGATCTTCATGGTCAAACGTGGTTCTTGTCGATGATTAGTAACATGGCCAACCGTTTCCGCTGCATTGTCAGACGTGATGTTCGTCGGTGATTAGCGCAGGGCTTGATGCTCCTCTATATGTGCAGACGTTATCCTTGTCAGTAATTTACCGACGTGGGAACCAAAGATGTTTTTTGATTAACTGTTCCGGCTCCCTATTTGCAAGATGTTTTTTGTCGGTAATTATGAATGCGTTTACTGACGTGATTTTCATCTACATCGATGATTGAATTACCGAGCTCGGCTTCACCGAGGCAGCCATTACCGACGTGATGCAAGTGGGTATTTTGTTTCATCGACCAGATTCCCTCTTTCTCCGACATGGTTTCTCATCGGTGATACAGTGAATTCTTGTAGTGCAAGGTTACATTAATTTTTTTTTTCCTCTCTTATTTTTCTCTTATTTAGATAAAATTCCTTTCCATTTTAAAATTTTTACTAATTAAATAGATAAATTCCACTCTTAATTTTAATTATGAAGATTTTCCTACATTTTTTGCTTTCCTCCTTCAAAATGTTCCGTTATGACTGCAGAGTGTTTGTAACTAAAAAAGACTGAAATTTATGCTTTATAAAAACTAGCGTTGGTTTTCTGTTCAAGATGGTGAGTGGATTCTCTAATTCCATCCACTTTACTTTTTTGATATTTTCCTTCACAAAGACGCATCTTTTATACAAATCTCTTATAAAATAAATAATTTTATTTGAATATAAAAATTTTTTATATTAATTATAATTTTTTTATATAATTTATATT